AAGTCAATACATTGGATCAAATAGGTTTCAGCAGCAATAAGTAAGATGCTCTAGAATTAATGTTAGTGCACTCTCGAATGTTGTCACTGTTGAGTGACTTCAAAAAGGAGCCAGTCTTTGTTTTTGAATCCCGAAAGGTATTGGTAGCTGGCAGGAATCCAGAGTTTCTCTTGCACTTGCCAAGTAAACAATTCTGGAAAGATCCAATAGCTGCTTTAACTTCTGTTCAAATCTGGCCACAGCAGCACTTGATATTTTTGCTAGTAGTAACAATATGTATACAAGTTATTCTTACCTTGGATATACACAAGATGTACAATCAACAGCAGCTCGAATCCCCGCATTGCCATTGTTCTGTAATGATTTATGATTATTATTAACAAATCACTGACAGCTATTGTACGTTGATAATTAAAGCATGTAGTAATTATCCAGTGATTATAATCATTTTATACCAGTATATACGACTATTGCAAATGACATAGCTATTCCATCAGTAGTAAATGCAACCGATAGCTAAAGGCATGGCCTGGAGGTTTGGTTCATTCAGATTTTATCAGTCATCTTTGCCTTGAATGGAGTGATTGGGTTTGGAATAACGCCACTTCGTATAATATTTCGGAAATATCACAGTGTATCAGTTTGATGTTTGAAAAAGGCCATATGTGGTGCACATCTTATAATCAAGGCGACCTGGATTTTAGCCAACGCCTATGCAACTCTGTACTGCACAGTGTGGAGCATGAGACGACTGGCTACCCTTTCATTGGTCACATGTATGGTACACGTCAAAATAGAGAATTATATTGGTTACCATTTTAGCCGTTGATACGCCAATTTGTAGATGAAATCAATATGTTCATCATAAGACTTTTTAATAACTTTGCTGAGGCCTTGAATTCAGTAAACCTAACCAGACGGCTTTAGAGCGTTAAGTACAGATAACAACATGAAATCTACCAGGATACGTCTCGTGGTTGAATTAGGAGATAAACAATGCATGTTTTCAGATTTGAGAACGTTTTCATTTTCTGAAGTTCTGTCTGTCTGTGAACTCGGACATTTGTGAGACAGACATGGCATCACACTGGAATGATAATTATGACATCATTATATAATTGATGAAACCATCCAGTGAAATCATTCATGTCATTGAATTCTTTCTGTCCCATTTGACACTCATCTGATTGACAAGGTTCAGGAGAAACGTGGCAAAGAAACATGTACTTCTGAACCAGGTTTGTTGAATAGGTATGATATCACATTAAATACCCGATATTTAGATTAGAAATGATACTCGAACCCACTCCGTGTATGTTGATTTAGTAAAGTGTCAGACATAGCAATATTCACTATTTATCTAAGTGTAATAAACTATTTACACTTACAGTAAATTCCAGCAGAATTAAAACAAAAATGCTAGGTGTTTTTATGCGCGTTATGTATGTTCTGTTACATTCGAGTTGAGGGTTGAAGAGACATGTCCTTTTGGCATACACGTGCCAAACAACGTTTTCTCACCAATCATTTTGCAGCACACACTCCCACTCGATATTATAGGAATTTCAATTCAGTATATGATCAAAGAAAACATACACTTCATACAAGGGAATTACGAATAGATGCGTTCAGCCAATCTTTAAGGTACGACAGTGGTGTCTTTTGGCTATTTGGGGCAGTTATGTTCATTTGGTTCAAACTGATCATAACATTCAACTGTGATACAAATAGCCGTTCTGTTATATACAACGCCAGAGCGAAAGATACGAAGCAGTGATGATCTCTGAACACATAGGATGCATAGATACAACATCAATTTTCCAAGAGTTTAAGTATACTGTAGCTTACCTGTAGTCTTTGCTGCAGATAGTGCAATGCATCGAGTGATGCCTGCCCGGTATTTATATCTCTTGTTTTAATCAAATATTTTAATAAACCTTTATATTTAATTTGATACATGTATTGATAGACAAAGGATGTATAACTTTCTGGTATCATATATCTTCCAACATAAAGTGTTTTGACAGATGTTTCTGAATGTTCTTGAATACTGTTAAATTTAATGTATTAACCTAAAATGTCAACACGATACTCAATGATTGACTTCAATTAGTGTCCACGTGGTGCTTCTGTGTGAAATGAATACGTGTTTGTAACTACGTGGTCGTCAAGCAATCTCTAATATATCTTCAATAACAAATGGGTTTTTTTTCAATGCGTTCAATTTAACTCTAATTTTTATTGGTGAATTGAATTTAGTCAAATGTATATGTACGTGGTGGTAGCTATTATTGGTGTATATTGCACAATATTATTCAATATGTAGTGCTATGTAGTATCTTCAACCCTGTTGTATTTCCCCTCCACACAAACGCATATAGTGGCATAAGGTGCATATGTTGTATTAATCAGGTATATCAGGGAATATCCATGATCGGATATTGTTCAATATTGGTCAAATAGCCAATTCCCTTCCTTTGACTTACCCAACTGAACTATAGAATTGAAAGAGACGTGTGAAACTCCCTCGTTTGTTTCATATTTCAATCAATGCATAAAACATTTTAAAAAACTCTCAACAACACTGAATGACAAGCGTGATCACCTCAACTTTCCAATTGTAAACTTTCCTGTCATGTCACCTGCCATACCTTTTGAGGTACAATCGGGCATGCCCCTTGTACGAAGATTTCAAAGAACGTCAAACGTTACAACTTTCAAAGCCTAAGCAAAGCTTTCGAACGTTTTATGGCTGACATGTGGAGGAAATTCCAAAATATTATTTTTGAGGTGGACACTTATTTCAGTAAAATCAAAGCCATTTTAACATCTCTTGACTAAATAAATAAACAGTCGAAATATAAAAACGTATTTTTTAAAACTCGTGTCTTTGGGAAAGTTACGAGTAAAACAACATGTTGACACATCTGGGCTCACTTCTAATCCAAAGCAGCAATTATCAGCTTGTGATAATACAAATGATATGAGACAAGTAGATATTAAACAAACTTGATGGAAATAAACATGCACACACAACGTGCAAGTTAGAGCCTACCTGTTATGAATATAGAACATGGATTGTACATGTTTCGCAACATCTGGTCCAGTTTCAATTATTTGAAGAGAAATAGTTGACGTACAATCGAACATACTCTTTCTTCATAGATTTAAAAGAGCGCCATACGGCTCCTCCTCCAAAGTTATTTGACCAAGGTTTTATCAAGTTTTAGTGAAGAATTCAAAACGTTTAATGATAGGCATGTGGCGGACATTGCGATTTTTTCAGGTGAACACTTAACTTACCTTTGCATGTGTTGGAGACGGGAGCCTCTGTTGAGGCAGGATACGTTCACCTTTTTGCGAACATATAGTATCATATAGTATCATCCCTAATGAAATACTGTGTCACGCTATCAAAGCCTATCACATTCCTCGAATGGTTCTGACTGATTTTTTTGAAGGTTGAAGCTTATATAATTTTGTTTCTTTTGCAAAGGGGGAAACCTATGTTTATAATAATACATTTTATCATACATTCCAGTGTGAGAGACTAAGTTTTCTGAAGTTGGGAAAAGTGATATTTGCAGTGAACATGACACGTTATATTTCACTGCAGTGAACATAACACTTGATATTTCACTGCAGTGAACACAACACTTTGACGGAACTATTGTCATAAAAAAGTGACCTCCCCTCAAATTGTCTCCCATTATCGTAAGTGTCTTCTGGACCGTACACAAACTGTTGTCTTCCTTTTTACGTTAGTTCCACATTGACAAGGCAAAATAATGACAGATGGTCATTTATAGAGTTAATATCACTTCAGGATGTTTGTTATTGAAAAAGATTCGTTATAAACTGTAAATTGCTGACTAAATTTGTCAATCGAGACTGGTCGTTTTGCAAAGCGCCATTTTTGTTACTTGACAAGCGTCTATTCTTTCCTTTCCAACAGCGGTTTGGTAGTTTCAAGTACATGCATTTTTTTTGTTTAAAGTTTATTTTGTATATAATCATATCTATATGTATGATACAGAATGTTCATGCCCATAAATAATTTGTATTGCTTTTGTTTATATTTTTTAAGATTTTTCAAACAAGAAACTACTTTGTAAGTCGCAAATACAAGGGGTTGTGAACCGTCCCTTTGTGTTAGATAAGGAGAATTTAAGCCACTCGTGAAAATATCTTATCTCCCCCCGTCACTAGATGAGAGAAGCATGATATTTCACTCGACACATGAAATATCCTCGATATCATTGACAGTATTCAAGAACATTCAGAAACGTATGTCAAAACACTATATGTTGGAACACATTATGATTATGATCCCATGGTTGTTGACCATTATTCTGAGACGCCTCATTTAGCAGGCACTCCTTGATGAACTGTGATATAACTGAAATACTTAAAAAAGATGTATAACCAAACTCACTTGTATCACAGCTACTGAGTAATTGCCATCCAGCATCACAACAATTATTAACCGCCTTCTGCGTAACCCAAAATTAAATGTTAAGAACTTGGCAGTTATGTGTCCATTTAAAACATTTAACCTGTGATGCCTGGTATATACGAGTTATCGCCTCTTGTAATTCATAGTGAGTGAGTGAGTGAGTGAGTGAGTGTGGTTTTTATCAACCTTCCAGCAATATCACGTCCGGGGACACCAGAAATGGCTTTCACAAGTTGTAGCCATGTTGGGAAACGAGCCTATGTCTTCGGCGTAACGAGCTATTTCTTACCAAAAAACTTCCCAACCCTTCATGGTACATGTATTCATAGATACTAGGTTTACATTAATTAATGAACTTGTGTCTTACTTCTCCAAAGAGAACATTTGACTAAAAAATCTATTTTCTATATTTTCTTTTAGATTTTTATCGTCCTTTCCTTGCTAGAAAGGGAATGTTGGCCTACTGTGGATATCGTTAAAGTCACGACGAAGAAGGACCAAGACAACACAAATGAGGACTTAAAACAAAGCAAATGTCGATAGGTAGGATGAATGGTATTTATTTCCATAAAACATATCCACTCATCTCCTTCCAGGCCCTTCACTTGGACATGTAAGCTTAGTCAGACTATCGCTGATGTCCTTCAAAGCTTTCTGTCTATCGGTGAATACAAGGCTGGATTTTGACGCCACGTCCTTCATGGTTCCGATGGCCTGACTTTTCGTCAAAGCCACGACATAGATAACTGCCTTCCTCCTGAGACCACCAGCATCTATCATAACGTTCATACCGTTTCTGCTTCTTCCGTCAGTGAACACGATGACGACATTATCAGCGTCAGTGCGGTCACCGTTTTTCTCACTAAACACGTTGATGTCGGCTATTTTAACAGCTTTGTTAAGGAATGTTGGACCATGTTCTTTGGTAGCGTTCGCAATGGCTGCCAGGGCGGACCCCTTGTCTTGGAAGGTGTTTAGATGGAATCCCACCTCAGCTTCTTTTCCAAATACCACCTCAGCAACATGTAAAAGAGACAGATTTATTCGGGTATCATTGATCAGTTGAACTTCAAATTCCTTCATTGCAGCGTAGTCTTCAGTTTTCGTGACGGACGGAGACGCATCTTCTATCAGGAGAAGGTCGACCTTACGTTGAACGCATGCTGGAAAACCAATGTAGTGATGTATTAGTGGAATGCATTAGTTTGATGGATTCCAAAGATAGTTTATAACATGACGGAATCAAACAAAGGACTCGGCCTATGATATCGGAAAGGTTATGTCGTTTTTATTTCGCATCGTACTTATTTTTCATATGTTTGAAATATGTTTCGCCAAAGGAAATAATGCCCAGTTCAAAATAAATTATTCCATTCTATTTAAAATATTATTTTTATGTTTTTATAACGAGCATATGTTTCTAGCGTTTCTAAGTGTTTGTGCGTGTGTAGTATCTGTGTGTGTAAAAGTGAATTTGACATTTTGAATTTAGTATGTGTCTGTGTGTTTGCTGTTTAACAGCGCCCTCAGCAATATTCAAGCTGTATGACATAATAGAGTCTGGACCAGACAATCCAGTGATCGGTATTGTCAGCAACGATCAGAGAGCCTGACAACCCGATCCATTTGGTAGCCTCAGGACCAGCATATGTTACTGAGAACCAATTCTATTCCAAAGTCCCCACGGGGCCGCCTCATACAAATAGCATAGGTTGCTGGGAACCAATTCTAATCCAGAATCTCCATTCATGCGTTCATACACAGGTGTATAAGGTAGCTAGTCAACACGCAGTTACACACGTACCCGTCTCGCAGTATCTTCCAGTGGTTCCATAAGGACATTTGCACGTGAAGGGTTCCCCGGAGGCCGGGCCGTCTTCACAGATGCCTCCATTGACACACACGTCAACTGCAGGGCAAGCCTCTTCGGCGGAATCTTAAAGCAAAATATACTAATCGGTAATCTACATTGTATACCAGTGTCAAAGGCTGTTTGAATGAATGTATATACGCGGGATCGATCTGAAGTTACATAGTGCTTTATACCTGACAGAGATTGGATGCTTCTGTTCATCGTTATTTAAGCAATCTACCTTGAATGTTTTGCTTCAATTTTGTTTCAACTCAAACGCAAATAAACATATAAACTCAGATAAACAGATAGCAATGAACCCCCGACACACCTGTATGAGATCAACGCATGTGTGGCGTTAAATGTAATCACCGTTGTGGACAATATATGTCAGTTGGACAAGTCATGATTTTTCATGACTTCATTTACTGAATAACTGAACGGAAGGTCCGGGCTTTACTCCCCGGCCGCGTCATACCAAAAGACGTTAAAAGATGGTACTTGTTGTTAACCTGTCTGGCGCTCGGAATGTGAATTGTTTTATAAACGTTTATAGAAGTTGGCGGATGACAAAGGAGACACAATATATGGAAAACAAGTATTTTAATATAAGATTAAATCTCATCAATCCAATCATAGCACGTGTGTATACTTAATCATGTGGCTTCCTCATCATGTGTTCTCGGTCCATCATGTTGTTGGAATAGTATACTCCTGTTGTTTTTGTTTACCCACTCATGTAAATCTCGTTCATGAATATGTATTGTTGTTTCTAGTAATCCTTTACCAAATATGCATAATTCTGTACTATGCACAGATTATTCAGTCTTGAATGACATAAGAATGTGTTCCGAAACGTCGCTACTGCAGTATATCAAAGAAATTAAGATTTTTAGTAATTTTTACTATTAACTACGGTGATATAGTGTGTGGAGATGAAATACCACAAAACAGCAAATGCAACGTAGGTGAAAACTGTTTTAGTCAATAGATGTCAGTATGATGAAGACACATGGACAATATGGTTGCATGCTTTATCATGACTTCACTTACTAAATTACTTGTTTCATTAATATTACATCACAATTCAGAATCTCAATGCTCTAAAGTAATCATGTTGTCTAATTGGAATACTGTGTAATTTGGACTGATTGTACTGATGAATCAAGACATGGCGAATTAACGACGAATGAATCAGAGGCTTCTTTTTTAAATACACAATTGAGAAAAACAGCTAATAAAAACTACTATTACTACTAACTATTGGTGGTAGGCGGCGACGTTGGAGGAGGGGTCGTAGTTGGACGAGGCGTCGTAGTTGGTGGAGGCGATGGAGTGGCTGTAGCAGGGGCATTTGATGTCATTGTAGAACCCGAAGGCACTGCAGGTGAGTGAGTGAGTGAGTAAGTGAGTATGGTTTTACCTCGCTTTTAGCAATATTCCAGCAATATTACGGCGGGGGACACCAGAAATGGGCTTCACACATTGTACCCATGTCGGGAATCGAACCCGGGTCTTCGGCGTGACGAGCGAACGCTTTAACCACCACGCTACCCGACCGCCCCCACTGCAGGTGACGAAAGATTAGAATACGCAGGGAGTGAATAGAATATAGAAACAGCAACGATTACAACAGTACTGTGAAAATATGTGTAATCAAATAATTATATTTAAACACACAGTATTTGGCTAACAATCATAAAGTCAATACATTGGATCAAATAGGTTTCAGCAGCAATAAGTAAGATGCTCTAGAATTAATGTTAGTACACCCTCGAATGTTGTCACTGTTGAGTGACTTCAAAAAGGAGCCAGTCTTTGTTTTTGAATCCCGAAAGGTATTGGTAGCTGGCAGAAATCCAGAGTTTCTCTTGCACTTGCCAAGTAAACAATTCTGGAAAGATCCAGTAACTGCTTTGACTTCTGTTCAAATCTGGCCACAACAGCACTTGATATTGTTGCTAGTAGTAAGTTATTCTTACCTTGGACATACACAAGATGTACAATCAACAGCAGCTCGAATCCCCGCATTGCCATTGTTCTGTAATGATTTATGATTATTATTAGCAAATCACTGACAGCTATTGTACATTGATAATTAAAGCATGTAATAATTATCCAGTGATCATAATCATTTTATACCAGTATATACGTCTATTGCAAATGACATGGCTATTCCATCAGTAGTAAATGCAACCGATAGCTAAAGGCATGGCCTGGAGGTTTGGTTCATTCAGATTTAATCAGTCATCTTTGCCTTGAATGGAGTGATTGGGTTTGGAATAACGCCACTTCGTATAATATCTCGGAAATATCACAGTGTATCAGTTTCATGTTTGAAAAAGGCCATATGTGGTGCACATCTTATAATCAAGGCGACCTGTATTTTAGCCAACGCCAACGCAACTCTATACTGCACAGTGTGGAGCATGAGACGACTGGCTACCCTTTCATTGGTCACATGTATGGCACACGTCAAAACAGAGAATTATATTGGTTACCATTTTAGCCGTTGATACACCAATTTGTAAATGAAATCAATATGTACATCATAAGACTTTTTAATAACTTTGCTGAGGGCTTGAATTCAGTAAACTTAACCAGACGACTTTAGAGCGTTAAGTACAGATAACAGCATGAAATCTACCAGGATACGTCTCGTGGTTGAATTAGGAGATAAACAATGCATGTTTTCAGATTTGAGAACGTTTTCATTTTCTGAAGTTTTGTCTGTCTGTGAACTCGGACAGTTGTGAGACAGACATGGCGCCAAACTGGAATGATAATTATGACATCATGATATAATTGATGAAACCATCAAATGAAATCATTCATGTTATTGAATTGTTTCTCTCCCGTTTGACACTCATCTGATTGACAAGGTTCAGGAGAAACGTGGCAAAGAAACATGTACTTCTGAACCAGGTTTGTTGAATAGGTATGATATCACATTAAATACCCGATATTTAGATAAGAAATGATACTCGAACCCACTCCGTGTATGTTGATTTAGTAAAGTGTCAGACATAGCAATATTCACTATTTATCTAAGTGTAATAAACTATTTACACTAACAGTAAATTCAAGCAGAATTAAAACATTCGATATTATAGGAATTTCAGTTCAGTATATGATCAAAGAAAACATACACTTTATACAAGGGAATTACGAATAGATGCGTTCAGCCAATCTATAAGGTACGACAGTGGTGTCTTTTTGGCTATTTGGGGCAGTTATGTTCATTTGGTTAAAACTGATCATAACATTCAACTGTGATACAAATAGCCGTTCTGTTATATACAACGCCCAAGCCAAAGATAAGAAGAAGTGATGCTCTCTGAACGCATAGAATGCATGTATACGACATCAATTTTCCAAGAGCTTATTTGTACAGTAGCTTACCTGTAGTCTTTGCTGCAGATACTGCAATGCATCGAGTGATGCCTGCCCGGTATTTATATCTCTTGTTTCAATCAAATATTTTAATAAACCTTTATGATTAATTTGATACATGTATTGATAGATAAAGGATGTATAACTTTCTGGTATCATATATCTTCCAACATATAGTGTTTTGACAGATGTTTCTGAATGTTCTTGAATACTGTTAAACTTAATGTATTAACGTAAAATGTCAACACGATACTCAATTATGGACTTAAATTAGTATCCACGTGGTGCTTCTGTGTGAAATGAATACGTGTTTGTAACTACGTGGTCGTCATGCAATCTCTAATATGGCTTCAATAACAGAAATTAATCATATTCAGAATATGATTGATATTGATCAAAGCTTCATCAAATCTGAATACAATATTAAACATACGTTATACATAGACATTTACAACTAGCAAACACACATAGCTTCAAACGTCATATAAAGCAACCCTGATAAAGAAAGCCCTCTAATCCTCGTTGTATTGCTGATATGGGTGGAATCTGAATCCAATTCCAATACGAAAGATCAGAAAGATATCATCTATAACCCTCCACAAAAGTCGGTCAGAACCTTTTGAGGAATGTGATAGGCTTTGATAGTGTGACTCGATATTTCATTAAAACATTTAATCATGTTCATATTTGTATCTCGCGAAATCGTCAGCATTTTACTTTGTTAACATTAGGTGCTATTGCCATGTCCTATAGGATTACCTATTTACTGAACTGAGGTATAGCGTATGACGGCGTCAATTTTGGCCAATTACACGATTCCGACTTTTTCATAAGAATGTGTTTAGGAATAACTGTCAACAATTGATGTTAAGTGGGTGTTCGCAAAAACTTGAAGGTATCCTGCATCAAAAGTTGCACTGTTCAAACTGCAATTGATGGAAAGTACATCATCATAAATGCTTCACACAATTCAGGATCCTTATATTTCAATTATAAATCAACCTTTTCCTTCGTTTTGGTGGTAGTAATAGATGATAACTACGATTTCATTACCATTGGTGTTGGATCACATGACACCAACAGTGATGCTGGCATATTTCGTGCATAAAAAATTGGGAAAGCTCTAAAGAACGGGGATGTGCAATTGGCCCATGACTGAGTTCCTATTGGTGTTGTTGAGACTGATCTCAACCCATGTTTATTTGTAGGTTTCCTTTTGGGGGGAAGTTAGTTATATAATTAGGCCTAATGGGGGCTGAGGGCTGCGATCTTCAAACTCCAACTCTGCCGTGCCCGTAGGGAGCACATTTGGTATATATATTTTAGCAGCAAAATGGCGAAATTTCAAACCAAAAATGGCGGTACTTCAGGTTCCAACAAAACTAGACATGAGTGGCAGCAAACTGGGACAAGAAGCCCAAAGGGAGAGAGAAATATTTTACAAAGAGAGAAGTACCCTGGCAGCAAGGTAAGTTAACAAGGATCACTGAGTAAAGGAGACCAATTAAAATATGTTGTAACCTTTCATGGGATCGGACCCTTGGTCATTGACGTCTCGCTCATCTTCTGACTTTACTTGCGAGTCCAATTCAGACACTGAAAGTTCCAGTTCGTCAATGTCATCTGGCATAGTCGTGTCATTTCTGAAACGAGTATAAATCCGTAATTTCATATCGTGCAATGGCATATGTCATTACTTTGATCAAGGTTTCGAACGTTCTTCTGGAAATATATACGTGCGACACAAATGTATAAACATATCAATAAACATACCTTTTTAACATAATGATTACTTATTCAGTATATCCGAAATGGGAGTCAAGGAATCCCAAGTATCTATACCATGTCCATTTAGGTTCTTTTATGTCACTTGCACCAGATTCACTTTTCATGATATCCAGAAATTCTCTCCTCATTCGTCTTTATGTAGCTTCTCCATCTCGTTTTAAAACTGTTAAGTTAATTCTTTAAAAGAAATCCTTTGTATTCCGATTTACATGAAAACTATTTTTGCCTATTTATTAACACTTCTGTTCATTTTTGTAATGCTATTCTTCTCTAATAATAGTTAAAATATAAATAATAAAGTTTAAAATCTGAAATGTGTTTTACATAATTTAATTAAAACTTGAAACTTGCTTATTTGAACACCAACGCCTCTCATAAAGATATATCCTATCAGCTGATCATCGAGAATGGTGTCCCATTGTTTGGACAGGGGTTTGTTTTGCATGCGTAGACTTATGCTTGTTACATCTTCAATAAAGGTATTTGAAGGAGACTTTTGTCACAATTTTGTACATACTTAACCATGTAAATTCCCATGTGCATACACGCAAGCAAATAATAATGAAGTAAATGCTTACTTTCGACAGACGGTACATACAGGACACGGGAAATTTATGTCCAAATATTACTATAAGAGCCTAATCTCGATAATTGGGACTTGTTTAGTTGTAGAGAGCAGGACTACTTTCAACCAACTGCAAGAAAGCTTCCATGTTGACAGCTGGTTCATCACCCTCACAATTGTTAGTGGCCATTTTAAAAGTATGGCCTCTTTCACGTGCAAGGAGTATCCAAGTCAAATGAGTGTTATCATATGTCTTAAGAATAAAATATATATTATATTTAGATTCCACTGCTGCGATATATGATGCGATGCGGTTTATAAGTCCGCGTTTGATAGAAACGCAACGCAGAACAAATAACAAACCAGCACAAAAACATTGCTATCGCTTTGACGTTGACAGTGAGTTTAACATAACATGACACCCCCTGTTGCTTCAAATCGCAAACGCAAACGCAGGCAAAAACGGTTGATAAGTTTTCTTCTTGTGAGGTATACCTTACAAAAACATTCAGTGTACTGTTCAGTTGGACAGCAAGTTGTGTTTTCGTGGGCATTGTTCTTGAAATTGCAACTTGCCAAGTTGTATGTAATATTTCTTGAGACAGCACATAAATATTTTTGTGCTCTGCCTAGTTCAATTTCTTGTGTTGCTGCTTCGTCCACGAATCTAGTATCTGTCTAGACCACATTTGTTCTCGGATTATATATATATTTAAGTTAAAGTTTTCATTACACCTGAAGAGCCGTTGAACGGCGAAAGATCTTGTGTGGATAAAGTATTGACAAGCACAAATATCAGGACTCAGGTTTTTTTCGTATGTTGAATTCTTATCACCTGGTGAAATCACCTGTCTGATATAGAAGAATATAGGAATATGATGTGAAAATATTGTTTCTTTAAGATACATACTTGAGATTCTTTGATGTCTGGTGTCCGTTGGTAGGATTTGTCGATTTGTAACACTCTTATTTCATTGGGATTTGTATCGGCGAGAAAAGGTTTGTCACACGTTAACTACCTATCTGCACCTTAAAAATATGTTGAAAAGTTCCTCTTAGTCGGTTTCATCCTGATTCTGCTTTAGTAAGATGAACGTTTTGCATTTTGTCTCTAGTCATTACACATAACCCCATTGGCGTAATTTAAAACAAATAAAACATTTGAAAGGATGTATTTGCATGCAATACCACCATACTTATGCATGCTTCGTGAAAGTGTGACGAAAGGTTCATAGCAACTTTACAATGAAGAGGTATGTATTTTGTATTTTGTCTCTAGTCATTACACATAATCCTTTGAAATATCTAAAAACAAATAAAACATTTGAAAGGATGTATTTGCATGCAATACCACCATACTTATGCATGCTTCGTGAAGGTGTGACGAAAGGTTCAAAGCAACTTTACAATGAAGAGGTATGTATTTTGTATTTTGTCTCTAGTCATTACACATAACCCATTGGCGTATCTTAAAACAAATAAAACATTTGAAAGGATGTATTTGCATGCAATACCACCATACTTATGCATGCTTCGTGAAGGTGTGACGAAAGGTTTATAGCAACTTTACAATGAAGAGGTATGTATTTTGTATTTTGTCTCTAGTCATTACACATAATCCTTTGAAATATTTTAAAACAAATAAAACATTTGAAAGGATGTATTTGCATGCAATACCACCATACTTATGCATGCTTCGTGAAGGTGTGACGAAAGGTTCATAGCAACTTTACAATGAAGAGGTATGTATTTTGTATTTTGTCTCTAGTCATTACACATAATGCTTTGAAATATCTTAAAACAAATAAAACATTTGAAAGGATGTATTTGCATGCAATACCACCATACTTATGCATGCTTCGTGAAGGTGTGACGAAAGGTTTATAGCAACTTTACAATGAAGAGGTATGTATTTTGTATTTTGTCTCTAGTCATTACACATAACCCTGTTGACGTGTCTTAAAACAAATATAACATTTGAGAGGATTATTTGCATGCAATACCACCACACTTATGCATGCTTCGAGAAGATGTGATGAAAGGTTTATAGCAACTTTACAATGAAGCTGTATGTATTTTGTCTCTAGTCATTACACAGACCCATAATGCTTTGTTTCCTCGTGGTAGTTTCACATATACCTCTTATAAAACAAATGCATTTGAGAGGATATATTTTCAGGAAACGCCATCATACTTATGCATGCTTCGTGTATGTATGACAAAAGGCTGATAGCAACTGTACAACGAGGCGGTGTGTCATTAACTAAAATTATTTTTTTGTAAATGTGACATAGGCTTCATACGTTGGACCTATGTGTAGAATCAAACCCAGGATTTCGTCGCAACGAGTATAACGCTTTCTTCCGCTCCATCTCCCCATCTTCACTGTAGAAAAAAAAGAGTTATGTTTCATCAAAACATAGTTCGGAGGGTACTTACCTTGATAAGGTGTATGGAAATGAACAAAAATGCCCACAACAGATTTTTCGAATTTCGATAAATGCTGATTAAAACAGAATTTAAAGTTTAATCAAGGCGTGTTATTATTGTATGGGTCGAAAGCCGGAAGTGATGCAAACGTTTTGAGTACATATGGTGATACACACGAGTACGTGAGTATACTGCGAACCTTGGGTTGGAACCAGCGATGATAAGGACCTGGCTTGCCCAGATGACAGCACAATAGACCACACATAC